ATATATATATATATTATATATATATATATATATATATATATATATATATATATATATATATATATATATATATATATATATATATATATATGAAATCTAGTTAAGTTAGGATAGAAATTACTATTTGTTAGCTGATAATTTGCCAATCTATGTGCATTATGAAATGTATGTCATCATTCTTATCACTACAAATAAGTGTATAAATGTGACAATATATGATAAAATATTTGCTGCAATAATAAACAATCTTATCATCGTTTTTTTTTCTTTCGCATTTGTTATCATTCTTATCATTATAGTAACTAAATGTACACATGTAATAGTATATGAGGTAAACAACATAATTTAACGATCATCCACTAATGATGCATTAATTAACAATCATGCTAATTATTATATTATAACTTGAATAATTAATTAATCATATATAATGAAACAATAATAAAAATAATGATAAAAGACCTTATCATTTCTCTTTTTATTTTTCACTTGCTATTATTTTAAATGCACAAATGCAATAATAAATGAGGGAAATAATATAGTTTTATGGTATTCTATTAATGATCAATTAATTAACGATCGTGTTAATTGTTATACTGTTAACTAATTAATCACACATGATAAAGTAGTGATAGATAAGGTGATAAATAGCTTTATCATTTATCACCCCTTTTTTTTTATCCTTTCTTTCATTACCGTATAATCTTAAAGTTATCCATTTGGGTCTTAGCACGCTCACTTTCATACTGTGTTAGTTAAATCAGCTGCTTTGCACAAAGCAAAATATTTAGTTCGGTGATCAATAATGTGGTTGAGTCCATCGTACCGTGCAATCTCTTTGAGACAATTTTTGTATGTTTATTGACGGAGCAAGCGATCAATTATGTCACCTGCTGTAAATTCCAATCAATTGTACCGCGATATCGCGGGGTTTTGGCTTAGTTTTTTTGCGGACTCCCTTCATGTTACTCCTCTAGTTTATAATGAATTTCTTGGAATTTTGGTATTTGGACTTAAAAAAAAAAAGAAAAAAGAAAAAACGATAAAAATATTCAGTAAATTCAAAGTATATCATTATTAATAGTAAGCATTATTACATGATCTGATAATAACTCAAGGAATTAGAGTGTATTAGAATGGAAAACTCCAGAAAGTTCATTCATATAAAATTATCGGGAAATTATTTTTTGGTAACGCTTGTCGTTTTCCCAAATAATTTTACCCGCATATCACTAATATGTTTTAATGCTCCTTGTCATTTTTATGGATTTCTTTTTCTCTTCTTTTTGTGAGGAGAAAATAAATAAATTTGGATTTTGCGCAAACCATTCAAGAGTTTTGGTTAATAAATAACAATTTGTTACTTTTCAAAGACGAAACAACAGTTCGATCCTACAAATCATGAAGTAAAATAAATCACTTCTGAAGAGGTGATTGAACTGCACGATAAGTTAAAAAGTAATGTCAAATGAATTTGAAGCCAAAAATTCGGATATTATTATTTGAAATTTTAAAGAGCAGAGTAAATATTTTCTTGGAATATTTAGATCTTGTTCTTCACTTTGAAAAAACCTTCGATCGATCCCATGAATTATTTCATTTTTAGATAGAATCTGCAACTCGAGATATCCGGGGTAGAGAAGTGTCGATCGGCCGGTTGTGAGGTGGTGTGGCCGGTTGTTGTTGTTGTTACTTCGTGGTACGGAAAGTAAGGAGGAAAATGGCTATGGAAGTTGAAGTATTACAAAATGTAACTTTCTTATTATAAACACTTTTTATCAGCTTTCTTATCGATGAAATCGATATCTGGAAAGATTTTTTTCTTTTTTTTTCTGGAAACTCTTTTTTTTTGAAAATATTGGAAGAAACCTATATGCATCGGAATTATAAATTTTCTCTGCTTAAATATTTATCCATATGTTCATCTTTCGAATAAGTTGCAACCTGTTGAGGAAATCTAATTTTTGCGAGCAATGCTGAGGAAAATCACGTGTTAGGAAGCGATTCACTCGCAGAAGTCTAAGTATTTTAATTTGAGCGAATGTTCATTATGAAAGTGGAGAAATTTGATCTTTATAAGATACTACATTTAATACCCTTTTTTTTGTGTGTACAGTGTTCTTTACCAGTGTGCAGTTCGTTGTTTCATGGAGTAATCTTCCACCGAATTTGTCTTAAACTATTCTTTGCATTGTAGCGCCGTGTAGTTCACATTACTGCGGAAAATGGAACAAAGTCTGGAGAAAAGGTCATAGAGTTTGAAGACTGCTTTATTGAATAGTTTAAATTCTGAAACAAAAACGATAAATGTAAATTTTAATGTTTTGACTTTAGGATAACCTATTTTTCGTATAAAGTAATATGTGAATTCTCAATCCACTATTCTAACTTAGGAATCAGTATATTAAGGATGAAATAAATTTTTGGAATTTTTGCATATTCGAG